AGTGGCAGAGTAAAATCAACAGTTATGTCATTTAGTTCAGTCTCTGCTGATGCCATTTCTCTGAAAAGCAGAGGCAATTACAAAAGGACTTCCAGGAGTCCTCATGAGCCCACATCTTTGTCAATACGCGCTGCCTCTCCCATGTTTTCACAGATGTGTATGGTGGACTATTCCTGCTCTGAGCTAAGGTCAGTTCCTCAACCTAGGATTAGATCCTGTCCCTTCTCAGGGTCACATAACTCCAGCAGTTTTTATACTGCAGTTTTCCTATCACCACACAATTTTTTTAATCCTGAGCAAAGAAAAAAAAAAACCTGCGGCCCTACTTTTACTTCTAGCAAAAACTGAAAATGTTTACGCTCACTGTCTCCAATTTTCCCCTTCCCGGTCAGGCCTTCCTTCTCACCACCTCACACTGGCTCTTGTCAAGGTAGCCAGTGACTTGGATGTCGCGAGATTCCGTAGTCAATTTTCAGGCGTGACCATGTCCATCCTCTCCTAGTAATACACAGGCTCCATGAGAGATTTTTAGATGTGTTTTCACACTGTTCTAAGGCCCAGTACCCAGTAGACAAATAATATTTCACTTTTCCTAAAGTGAAATATTATTCACTTAAGAACATGGTATTCATTGCCCACTGTGTGCCACGGACTGCCTGTGAAACATAATAACTTAAGAAATTTACAGAGAATATAGATTACCTGACAATTCGGATTTCTATACGTGATCGTTTTCAAGAAAAGAAAAAAAACTGCTGAGCTACGCTCCTGGCCTAGCCCTTCTCCGCTGTGCCTACATTGTCAAAGAAAAGTGGCAAAGCCAGAGCTTTTTGCTAGTTTGAGTTTTCAAAAAATAACTTTAGCATACCCTTCCTCAAGTCCTGATAAGTTATCATTGGTCATTAAGAGAGTTCGCATCTTAATAGCGTGATCAAGGTGGATGTCCTTCCATAAAAGGTAAGCACAAGGCCATAGGTCAGGACCAGTGAACAGAGAAGAGTAAAATGGCACTGTTATTTGGGTTGGGATCCCCTTCTGCATCTTCCCATAGCACTCTGTATTATAATAGTCTATTTTCTGTCTCTGTACCCCTCTATTAGCTAGCTTGAGGGGAAGAGAATCCATCTTATTCATATTTGAAACTCCTCCCTAAAACCGGTGCCTTCTCAAATAAATGTGCTAGGGAAGGAATAAAGTCCTACATGCTTGAGTCCCAAGGTAAGTGCATTGGCCGTGCCACCTTTCTTAGTCTGATAAAGGAAAAGGAACAAAGGAAACTAATGTATTTATAGCCTGTACTATAGACCACAATCTGAAGCTATAAACCTAATACCCTGTGAGAATTCCAAATCTGGGGCTCAGGCTCTCTCCACTCTCAGAAGGGTCTTATTTCTACCTTCTTTTATACCAACAGCCCCACAGTCCTTTTCCTGAAGGGCACGAGACTGGTTCCTTTGGAAGGTGGCTCTGAGGTCATGCAATGCAAGCTGAGAACTCAGCCTCTTGGAGACTTGTGCATTCCAGACAGACTTAAACCTTAGACACAGCAGTTAGAGCAAGTGAAACTACAATGGCATTTCTCAGTTGTCTCTAATAAAAACAAAACTATACTTCTGGAAGAATCAGAGGAATTTAATGAGATTAAATGCTTTCCCAAAATTCCATGACACATCCTTGAGACACATATAATTCTACATTCTCGTAGATGATAAATCAGCCTACTAAAAATTATATGGTAAGATTTTTAGTTACCAGTTTTATTGTTTAGGATATTTTTAAATAAAATGGTAGCTAAAATGCTTTTTCACAGTGATCTTAGCTCAAGGTTTGGGGATGGTAAAAAGGAGCTCTCCTTATAAAAAGACTAAATTTGAGATTGACGTATATTATAAAATGATGATTTGTGTCATCGTGCCACATTTCCCCAGCTGGGAAAGGCCTAGCAGACAGCATCATACTAAATATATTTGAACCCTCTCTCTGGTTCAATTGATTGAGTAAATGAACTTAGGTTTCCTAATTGAAGTATCTAATATTGTCTTTTTCTCATTAATTATACCTTTTTTCCAGGTTCTTCCTGATGTATCTGATTAACAAAGATGAAACAGAGCACACGGGTCAGGTGAGAAAAAAAATTCTCTAATAATCATACCCGTGTTAGCGCTTCCTTTACCTAAGCCTTGAGAATAGGTAGAACACAAACTGAGATGGACCGATGACTTCATTGGTCTCACATGCGTTATTCCACCATTCTAAGGCAATTCCACTTTATTTCAAAAGACCTCCTGGTTATCCTTCGTAACAAACAATGACATTTACTAAACCTTTATGGTTATTGCTTCAGAACAGAATAGCTGGAGGTGGGGAAAACATTATAGAAAGACAATGAGAAACTAAGTGAATGGCAATAAGAAAGAGCAGGAGAATCATAATAAAATGCTATAAGATGGCATAAGATAACCTTATATGTTGGTGACACAGGGTATGGAGGGGTGGGTGTAGGTATGAATGAAGGTATGTGACAAAAGGGACTCGACCAAGTATGAAAGAGAACAAGGGAGGAAGAAGCAAGTTATCAAATATTCAAACATTTAAGAGTGGCCATTAGTCTCCACATCTGGCTTTAGCAATCCAGGAATCTGCCTATGCCACCACTCAATGTTCCCTCATCGTGCATTCTTTCTTTGACAGATTATAAATGACATGGAATTAGCCTACTGCTAAATCTAAGATTTTTAGTGGTAATCATTGAGTTGGTTTCAGTGGGTTTGTTTGTTTTTTTTTTTTGCGGGTGGGCGGCGGGACGGCGCGGCGCAACGGAGATGGTGAGAAGGGGGAAGCAATGACATCTTGCTCCCTAAATAGGCTGGGAATAAAACAAAGAATGTGCCAGTTGGGCCTCACATAAATCCACATCAGTATTCTTAAAGGAAAACAGAACAAAAACTGGGTTTTAGCTTACTGTGATTTAAAAAGTACTTTTTGCTATTTTTTCAGGAATCTTATGTCTGGAAGATGTACCAAGAAAGGTGTTGGGATTTCTTCCCAGCTGGTGACTGCTTTCGAAAACAATATGAAGATCAGCTTGGATAAATTTGAATGAAAGAAACTCCACAATTCTGGACTGTAAACTTACAGTGAAATTAAAATCCTCTTACACTTCTGCAACATTTTTAAAAGGTGACATTTTCTAAATGCCTCCCTTAACAAGAAAGTGTTCGTTAAAAATCCATGTGATATTTTTTAATTGATTGGGCTTTTTGTGCCTAATGGACATACCCTGTCAAAATGTTAAAAAATGCTTTCAAGCTTTCCAGTGCTAACATGTTTGTCGGGATAGCATCATGGAAGAAAAGACCAGAAGTATAAAGTCTTGAATGCATAATACATGAAATTTTAAACACTTGAATGTCACATGACAGTAACCACTAGTGACTCACGGTCTGAACTACAAAAAATCATTTTAACTGCAGTCTAACTTTTCCCATGGTACTTGCTAGAGAATGTATCCAGAATCAGCTTGAAAAGCTTTAAGCAGTTAAAGAAATAGAAAAAAACAAACCAACACTTTGTCGACACTGAAATATTGATTAAGTGCCTTAAAACCTCTTTAGATATAGCTATGCAAGTTTTTTATGTTTATGTTCCAGATGGACAGTCCCATTAATTAGTTGTGTTGATCTGTCTTACTTTAAGAAGCTGCACTTGAAGGTTATTAATATAATTTCTTTTTCAGTAACAGCTTGTCAACTGCTGTTATTAGAAGAAAAGTACTGTACTGAAAAGTCAGAAAAATCTCAATCTCATGCCAAATTGAGTAATGCTTTACGGTCCCTTGTAAGTAGTGGAGCTGCTATGTTTAGGTGAATCTCCTTAAATAAAATGAAGTGCCCACTGCAATAAAGTAATACATACCAATCCATGCTTCGGCCTCTTGTAATGCACCACTTCTGGATGCTTCTACAACCACACTGTGACTGCTAGGAAAAGGGACATGAGACAAATGGCCTAAAGCCCCGCAGAAGAAAGAAAAAAATCTCCATAGACCACCATTTGTTTTATTTTTGCCAAATGCATGCCTTGTGGCTTCTATTCTCTTCAGCAGCAGCACTTGCCATAAACACTGAGAGGAAGGAAGCTGGAAACGGCGGCCATAACATCCCCTGCCCTTAAAGAATGTCTTAGATTACTAAGCCAGAGAACAAATGCGATGAGCCTCTTCAAACAGATTATTTTAGCTGTTGTCAAACACAGAGCTAGGTGTTTAGCGGTAAGCATGATAGAACACACTGGTTTACATGCTTGTATACCAGCTATTCTTGAAGGACAGCCTTGGGCCCACCCTTACTTACAAGGCAACCAAAATTGGCTTCAGACATTTTTTTTTTTTGGTTAGGAAATCATGCTGTCCAACCAGTCTTCAAGCTCTTCCTCAGTAACATTTTTTGATGTACTTGGTTGCTCTGATTCCATGTTCTTTTCTTCCGTCACAGCTGGTTTTGCAAGAACTGGGAAAATAAAAACAAAGTTAACAACCTCACATTAGTCCCAAAATTGAGAGTTAAAGATTCCCTGGGGTTTGTTCCATGACATAATTCAGCCATAATTATTGCTTTGCTTATAACAAAGGGAAACATTCTATTGTTCTATGCCCTAAGAAAATATAATATCTAAACAAATAAACAAGGTAGAAATTTGTTCTATTCTGAAGCTGAATTTCACAGTTCACTAGGTTTTTAAAAAGACCAACAGCTCAGTCTTCTTTTTACTGTTGGAGCGAAGCTGGAAAGTCATTAAAGGTTCTCAAATGCAGTGCACGGATGGGGCAGTCGCCCTAGGCCTCTCCACATCAAATGGGCCACCATCTCACAGAAGATGCACAAATGAAGTGTTCTGTTATTTAAAAAAAATAGCAAGCAAGAAGGAGAAAGAGCTGGTTAACGGGACTGTTGAGACAGTCGATTAAAAGATCTGCTGCTGCACAGCTGAGGGCTCCGAGTATCAATGTCTTTTTATAGCATGAGTTCAAGTTGCAGCCTCAGGTTTAATATTGCAATCAGGCAGGCGGCAGCTTTGGAAGTATGGTATATCAAGTGAAACAAATGTTGTCAGAAAGGTCAGGAGGGAGGGGGGAAGCAGAGATCTGAGCACAGAAATAGATGTCAGTGGACAATGCCAGATCGATGTCAGACACCAGTGAAGTTGTGTACGGATGTGACGTGCATGAGGCTGTTCTCACAAAAACACCAGAGTCAAGAAGATAGGAAATAAAATGAAAATCATACCTTTTTCTTCTTGAGCCACCTCCTCATCTTTCTGGGATTCCAGGTCCTGAGGTGTCTGGTCTGGTAAGATGTTAGCCCCTGCTTTTACAGGTGCATCTAAATTAAGCAGCAGATCTAATTCTTCTTCCAAGTGGTCTGCTGCTGACTGAAGTGGGGCAGTGGGCTTCTGAGAACCCGTAGAAGGACCCGGTCTTGGGCTATCTTTACCCAGGTACAAGGGACAGCCAGCAGCAGCAGATTTCAGCTCAGAGACAGACCCCTTTCCTCCAAGCCCCAGAGCCCCTTTTAACTGCATCCCGAGTCCCTTGCCTTCATCATTTCTCTTTGGTTTCACCTGAGGAAGCTCTAAAGGAAGGGCAGTCTGAAAGAGAAGCATAATAACCGAGTTAAAAATGTGAGTCCTGCATATTCACTTAAAGCAGAAACAAAAGTTAAGGAAGCCACCAAATTTTGTGGAGTACAAAACTCAATTCAGACAGGAAGTTTACGAGGAGTCTCCAGTGTGGGCCCTGCCCCAGTCCCCTTCCTCACTGATTAGGATTAAATGTGGGAGACCTCACAAACATAATAGGGCTGGGCCTTCCACTCGATCCACCTCAGCTATGCGTTAACTCAGAGTTGAAATAAAAAGGGCCACGTCTTCCATCAGGCCTGAGAACTGACAGTACCATAGGTCTATTTGAATATATACTTAGATCTGTGATGAGACTTAAACATCTGTAAAAGGTGCTGAAGAGTAACTAGCACATCGAGTCTGTTCACTGTACTTAAAAGCACTAATATAAAGGTGAAAGAGCAAATTCACCAAAAAGAAAGGATGACATTTGAGTGAAAAATTCTAGACACAAGAAAACATACTATTTGATTATATTTCTAGATATAGGTAAAACTGATCTTTAATATTAGAAGTCAGGAAAGTTGGTTTTAGGGAAATAGTGACTCAGGGAAAGGTGGTTTCTGGGGTGCTGGCAATATACTTTGTTCACGAGGATGCCGATTCCATGGTTATAAATAATTTTATAAAAGTGTAAAACTCCCCAGGTGATTATAATGTAGAGCTAAGGCTAAGAACCACTGTTTTGGAGGGAGGCCTGGGGTAATTAGCATGGCATCAGAGGACACAGGTTCAGAATGAAGTTCAATACTATTGGCGGCACTGTCTCCTATTTGTGCACTTAAACTTCCTGTTCAAATCCAGTTGTAAATAACTCTTTGGGGCTTTTAACAGTGTATGGGGGCTTTATACACAAATATTCATCCATCATTGTCAGTGTTCAAGGTGAAGCTGGGAAGCGGTCCTCTATTCTAATCCGGAATCATTTAATTTCCAGGTGTCTAGCATTGTTTTTACCTCCCTGGGAGATTCTAATGGGCAAACCCAGTTGAGAATACCTGCTCTACTTCATCGGGGTGGGGCTGGGCTGGGAGTTGGGGGTGTAAAACTATTTACCACGTTTTCAAAGCTACTGTAATTATCGTATACCTTTACTCTAAGGCCTGCTACTGATGCAACATCCTTCACCTTCAAATGTTCACGAAACTTCTTGTTTCTCTCTTGAATCCTGGCCCCTACCACTTTTGTATCAGTGGTTCCCTGATATGCCTATTAACCATTCCTTACTGTGTGGGACCAAACCAAGCATGTCGGAACCTTGAACATCTCTGGACATTCAGTAGGAAAAGCAGCACTCTC